TAGATCTTTGCTACTTAATTGAAATTTTGAAATTTATAAACATTTAATTGAATATGCCGAAGAACCACTATCTCTAATGCCATCGACGGGGACAGGAAGCCGCCAGCCTGTATACCTGGAGAGGGTTTAAAAAATAGAGTTCTTCTCCGAACATGGTCCCCTTCATTATTCCTGAGCATATTTTCCAGCTCTTCTAACAACAGCTTATTTATCTAACCCTACATGATTTTCTAGAACTCAATTCTTAAATCTATTAACAGTCGGATTCCCAGTTGCCTCAGGAAGCACACTGACGGTTGAAGGCACTGTGCCAAGACAACCATACGGCTCGAACGAACGGTTTCTCATACAGGGACACACACTATGTAACTTTTCATATGGTCTTGGGTAGCTGCATTAATTTATATGTACTTAAGCATATTAATAAACAAAATTGAACGAACGGCCGGCCGGGTGGGTTGTGAGGCTCTTACGGACAAACGGGCAGACAGCTCGTACGGACAAATGGGCAGACAGCTTGTACAGACAAACGGGTGGGCAGCACGTACGGACAAACGGGTGGGCAGTTCGTACGGATAGGACCACTGGCTTGGACAGACAGGCGCGTAGATGGCCACTCTGAACCCGGCATTCTCCAGGAGAGTTAAATGTGAAGTGTGGAATAAAGTGATTCAAGCCTTTGTTCATCTTTCGGCGCTATTCAAGGGCATGTATTCCGTTAGTGCCACTGGTGTCAGTGGACCACGAGCCCCACAGAAGCAAAATCCACCACTCATAGTTCAAGGCTTGGGTCGAGTGTTTATTTAACATTTTGGATGTTATGTGTCACTTTTTGAGTTGTTTTTGCAAGTTGTGTAAAGCGGTGTTGTATGTTGCGATGATAATTAACAAACACAACAGACTGATGAAACTCCAACACCTGTCCCTTCACAACAACTTGTGCAAGGGTTGCAGACGCTACAACTTTGCGAAGAACACCGGCAGCAAAAACAACATTCTTTTAGCATCTCTAAGGCAGCCGCCGCAAAAAATGTCCTTGTGAGCCAACATAGTTGAAGGGCGTGGCATAGGGGGTTATAGTGTTTTACCCCCTCCCCAGAGTGTGGCGTTGGTGGTGCTGAGGACGCTATGCAAGGTGTGTAGAGTCTGGTAAGCTGTGTGGAGTCTGTCAAGCTGTGTGGAGTCTGTCAAGCTCTGTGGAGTCTGTCAAGCTGTGTGGAAGGTGTCAAGCCTGGCCTTGGGCCGGGTTTGGGGAGTAGAACTCTCAGAACCCCATCAAGCAGGTGTGAATACGGCTGGACACACTCTGGGCAGATGGTCCAAGAGTGATGTGCTGCAGCCGTTGTGAGCACAGCCGTGGAGGATGACCTTGGAGCTGTGATGTATCTACAATATTCCGGGGTGACTGCCCTGGGGCGAGATGGCAGCATGGACCCGAGGGAACATGACCCTGGGGTAAGAATCTCCATTCCTCTGGAGGCCAGGATCATATTAGTCTGTCTGGGTCATGGAGGACCTCTGACCTAGCAACTATTAGAGGCGAAGACAGAAGAGAAGTGATGCTGAAATGAATTTATGTTAAATTTTTGGGTTGCATGTGTCACATGTGTATAACGTGTATTGTTAGATCTCCCCTCCCAGGGTGTGGCGTCGGTGGTAGTAAGATCCCCCTCCCAGGGTGTGGCGTCGGTGGTAGTAAGATCCCCCTCCCAGGGTGTGGCGTCGGTGGTAGTAAGATCCCCCTCCCAGGGTGTGGCGTCGGTGGTAGTAAGGACCCCCTCCCAGGGTGTGGCGTCGGTGGTAGTAAGATCCCCCTCCCAGGGTGTGGTATTAGAGGTGATGGCAAGTATGAACTCGCAAATTGTGCAGCCTAATATCTTCGAAGACGGTTAAACCCTTAAATTTAAACCCGTGCTAGCACCTTCGTTAAGATTTAATTGGCTTTCAGATTCCTCATGATATGGATAGATTTACGGCTCGTAAACTTACGCTTAGCAGCAAAGAATTTGGGAGTGCAACATGACTCTAGGCAAGGTCGCTAGGCTGTCAACCATGCTGCTACAATTTGGAGACGGTGTTCCTTATATAAACTAATAATTTTACTAAGTACCAAAACCTATATTATTGATATATATAGTATTAATTAATGGACAAAGCTACACAAGTCCTCTTGAGATAATGTTGAGAGAGATACAAGCATGGGGCTCACCTCGAACAGTCCCAAGTATCTGTCGATGTTGCCCTCCACACCGGCCTCCTCCCACGCCTCTCTCATGGCCGCTGCTGCGATGTCCTCTCCTGCCTCCACTCCGCCCCCAGGCACCAGCCACGAGCTGGAGTCTTTCTTGCTCGACACCAGCAGTACCTGAGGACGCAACATGCAATATATAATGACGTCAAAATCCAATTCATAACACGCATTTGTTTAGGATGCAGGAAAGACGATGTCGTATATCTGTACATGTACAAATAATAAAGCTAAAAAACTAACTTAAATATTCCTAGGCCTAGTATAGCACATATGTACTATATTAGGCGTCAGATATCGTGTATTAGGCTTAGGAAGGTTAGGTTAGTTTAGTTTGTCAAAGCAACACAAGTAAAAAAAAAATTTCCGGTTCAACTCAATAGTACCAATTTCTACTTTCTAATTTCGTTGTAGGTCGATATATATACAATGTCGTCATAGTTACTCTAAGTACTACGAAAACAAGTGGATGGGCTGCATTATTCAATCAGAGAACACTGTCTGAGCATCAGAGGTCCATGGCTGTTCAGTACTCGCCCAGCAAGTATAAGAAATATTACCGGAACCAAGCTGAACGTCTTAAAAAAACAATTAAGATAGATGCCTGAAAGAAGTGCCGGACCAGCGAGATTGCAGTTTAAATGTGAGCCTGCGGGTCGCTCCAAGCAACAGCCTGTTGGACCAAGTTATCATAAGTCGAGCCTGAGGCAGTATAAGAATTTCTGCAACTCTCTCCAGAAATCCTTCTAGAATTTTGTCAATTTGTTTGTTTTGGAGAGTGTGTCTCTTCCTGCTTGGCCCAAGTTGCGGTATTCTGTGAATGTTTGACTAAGAGGCGCGAGACGAGTTTTTCAGTAAGGAACTGTTGCTTGCTTGCTCAATGACTTGAGATATTAGTTACAACTATTTTACGTTAAGCATTTTTGTATATATTACTAGATCGGGTACCTGCGTCTTTCTCCCCCTTTGTTCCTCTATACTTTCTCTACCTTTCTCTCCTTCCCTCTCCCCTAACATCTCCCCCCTCCCCCTTACCCTCTCTCCTTTTATTCCTCTTCTAGCTTTCCCCCCCCCCCTCTTCCCCTCAGAACATACAACCCCAGCAAACAGACAATATAAGGGCAACGTTATTTTTACAACTGTTACTTTGATGTAACATTTTAATAACATAACTAAAAATGTTGTGCGTAAGTTGGGATCTTATGAACAACTGAAAAACAACTGAAGAACTTTGGAAAATACAACTCCAATTTCAAACTGCATAAGAGTCGCTAGGATTTGGAATAGGAGCTGGTCCTTTTTAAAGGGGGGCACTTGGAGCTACCCGACCTGACCTGTCACAGTCCTATACCACCCATGTGTCATCTTGAAAAGTTCGGTACGGCTAGCCACACCCGTCTGGCCTGCAATCTTGGGCAAATAAAACACTCTTTTATAGATATATACGGATTATTCTGCTAAATCTCGTAGCAAAATGGCATAAATTTCAACACAAGTTATATATAATTGTGTTAATAAAGTAATAATAATAAAATATTTTTTTAGGTACAGTACATACATAAAAGGGGTGATACAAATATTGATGAATTTATATAGAATTTATATATAATAATTGTAATAAAATCAAATACATATACTCTTAACAGGACCTCTCTAGCTCCACTATGTCAGAGTAATGTAACGTTGCACGTATTGCAATAGTGCAGCTTAGTAGGCACTGGTGTCACCTTGTCCTTCAGGGGCTACATTGATCCCATAGCCAAGCAAACAAGTGGACAGCCGCCGGCGCGTCAAGGCTCGAATCTGACCCCCGCCTGAAGGCGTCTGGTTACAGGGATCCACGACTCGTTGTGTGTTGCTTCTTAGCCTGTCGCCTTACAACATGCTCCCCCCCCCCAACCCCTCGCTGTGCACAACAGAAGCCCCCTCGCTGTGCACAACACAAGCCCCCACGCTGTGCACAACACAAGCCCCCACGCTGTACACAACACAAGCCCCCCACGCTGTGCACAACACAAGCCCCCCACGCTGTGCACAACACAAGCCCCCCACGCTGTGCACAACACAAGCCCCCACGCTGTGCACAACACAAGCCCCCCACGCTGTGCACAACACAATGTTATCTTGCAGATGAAGAGACAATAACATGGCTGAAAAAGTTGACCAAACCACACATTAGAAGTTGTGTGGAAAACACCACACAACTAGAAGGACACTAGAAGTTGTGTGTGTGGAAAACACACACACAACTAGAAGGACACTAGAAGCTGTGTGTGGAAAAAACACACACAGCTAGGACACTAGAAGTTGTGTGTGTGGAAAACACACACACGACTAGGAGGACACTAGAAGGACTGCTGTGGAAGGACACTAGAAAAACAACTCTTCAGTTGTTTTTCAGACAATAGACTTGATAATGGTCCAGGACGGACCAAAGCCTCGTCGTCTCTTCTACTTCTAGTGCGTGGTTTGGTCGACAATGGTATCTTCCTTGCCAAGACTGAGAATGCTAATAGTGCCTTGCATGGGATAAAAGTCTTCCGCCTTTTTCTTTATTCTAATGTTCATACAAACACTAGTTTAACGTAGAATTTCGATAATTACACATATAAATTATATACCGCTGTTGAAAACATTGCAACAACATTTAGAGATAAGAAGTTGACAACTTTTATGAATCCATTAATAATATTATTGTTGAAAATAAACAAGGAAGGAGTGAAACGCCATGACAAGGGTGGTGGGGTACGGGGCGGACCCAGGAGACCTTTGGCGCGTAGATCGTCTGGTCTGGACCCACGGCCCTCTATGACAAGCCTCGCCTCACGCTTGCTGCTGCTCGCTTGTTTCACGTCCCCCAGTTCTTTTAAAATTTGTGCCAACAAGTCAAACGCTTACATGTTGACTAGACCACACACTAGAAGGTGAAGGGACGGCGACGTTTCGGTCCGTCCTGGACCATTCTCAAGTCGACGATTAGGTCCAGGACGGACTGAAACGTCGTCGTCCCTTCACCGTCTAGTGTGTGGTCTGGTCAACATACTTTAGCCACGTTATTGTGACTCATCGCCTGCAAACGCTTACATCACTTTCTTGTTAATGAAATGTGAATGAAACCTTTTAAATCAGCATCTATGTTTGAGGAAAAAAAAATCCTTATTGGTTGTGGGATTTATGACTATGCGCGTTTGTGAAGTTTCTTTGATGGGTACAGTCTCTCGAGTAGTGTTGCCGGTGATGTCCCTATCTCGGGAAGCAGATTCTGTAATTTTGCCCCGAGGGGCGAGTTTATTGGGCAGCGCCACTCATCCTGTGAGTGGACATACCTCCATAGCAGCATGTACAACACTCCCCAATAGGAAGAAAACCCGCTGGATGAAGCGAAACCGTCGCTCTACCATCCACCCCCCAGTGGGATGGATTTAATTGACCAGTAGTAAAATAAATGTTTCCTCCCAGTAAAGAGGCCTTTCACTCGCACCAACAGATAATGTTTAACACAGAAAATGGGGTTACAGACGACTAGTGCCAAGCGCCTGTTATATGCGCCGTGGACTAGGTCACCACCTTGGACGTTGGGGCGGGCCAGGCGCCTCGCGCGCCAGGTTCCTCGCTTAGCAACACCTCTCCTTAAAATTAACTAATAGCTCGCCGCAACGTTTTCCTACGTAATAGTAACCGACGGTACAAATACAGCTTACTACGAGAATGTTTGGCTCACAAATCAGCAGGTCTTCAAGGCAGGGTAAGGTCCTCCTAGGGTTTCCTAATGTCAAGACAGTGTCGTACCAAAGGGCACGGAAAAAAAGATTGTGCAGAACTGAATGTCCCTCTTAAACAACCATTAGGAATAAGCCTGCATGCACGCACGCGGCGCGCGCTACCAGGCACACTCGCGTGCACACACACATGCGCTTGAGCATACACATGAGCGGACTTACACATGTGCTTGAGCGCGCGCACACAAAAACAGCCTTTTCTGCCAGGTTCACTAATCATGCAAATATTAACCTAGTCATTACCACAAGCTCGCAAGGAACAGCGGTGGCATAACATGCTCAAGTACGTCTCGTCTTCAATCTTGGCAAATCTTCACTGTTGTTTGACAAAATTACTATTATAAGTATAACAAGGAAGTGTGGTTCCTGGTGGTGCCGGGGCCAGTCTCTCCCCCACCCCACCTGTCTTCTCTTCCCCTCTTATCACCCTCCTCACTCTCCCCTTCTACTGCCCCTCTTCCCGTTCTCCACTCCCTCCCATCTTCCCACCCTCCCTCTCTCCCCCTCAAATCTTGAACAGATAGATATTTTCATTGATATATATAAAGTAAACCATACAAATGCGCGGGTAAACGGCGGGAGTATCATTACCACACATTTCCTCAATAGCATTGGATTACATGCTATATTTCTTAAAGCAAGTAACTTAGGCCTTCCTCGACCACCCCTGTATCTGTTCTGTACCTAGACCAGCCTGTGTATGTTCTATACCACAGACCATTCCCCCTGCAGAGTTGGATGAGGCTAGCCCCAAGCATCTGGTCTCCAACTTGGGACAGACATTATCTCATAGGAATAGATTAACAAGTTATTTATTACGGTCATTGTTATCAATATAGTTTACAATTATCATTCTTCTTGATCATACTTCTATTGATCAATGAATTTATATCAGATATTGCATATGTAATTATTGAGAACCATTGATCAGGATGTAACTTATGTGCAAGACACAAGCAATACTGTATAGGCCTATGGATTAAAGCCATTATAATTATTAATAGTTATTTACTTATCAATCTGAAAGTTGCGTGAAACATTTTTTGTTTAAGAAGATACTTTATTTTTTTAAATAAGTCTGTGCATTCACAAGTAAGGACAGGGGGAAGGGAGGTGAAGATCAGGGGAAGGGGGAAGGGAGGTGAAGATCAGGGGAAGAGAGGTGAAGATCAGGGGAAGAGAGGTGAAGATCAGGGGAAGAGAAGTGAAGATCAGGGGAAGAGAGGTGAAGATCAGGGGAAGAGGTGAAGATCAGGGGAAGAGAGGTGAGGATCAGGGTAAGAGAGGTCAGAAAACAGGAAGAGAGAGTACAGTTCTGGGGTCCCCCCCCCCCACCCC